TTCTTTATCCCACTATACGAATGCCCTACGAATCTTCCTGATAAGCATAATTTTGATTTTCAACTCTTTCACTTACAATTTCCCTTGCTGCTTTCTTTCCTAAAGTTAGTTAGAGTAAACACTTGATTTTGTTCCCTAAGCCATAGCATACCCTTGTATAATCTAATAAAACCATTCAGTTCATTAGCATCAGTTTATCCAATGTTCCAAACTAATTGAGAGTGGATTTCCAAGAAGAAAAAAGGAAGAACATGTTCACGGGCACAGATACCTCTTCACCTGTTTACTAAAGATGACTTGGGCTCTACAGGACAGAAAAAAATATGGCCAAAGAATATTGAACCTCACTTTTCTGCTATTTTGGTTAACCCATGCCAGTTCTCTGAACTAAAAGTCATGCCATTCAATCTTTAAATAAAAAAGAAAGCTAAAAATGAGGATTTCTATTTTCCTCCATGGATTGTTAGAGAAAAATTCTATGCTTACCTTTGCATAGAAGACTCTATTTTAAATGCTCTGCTTTACTAACTGAGTAGGTAGCTGTGCATGCAGACACAGGTGATGAAGTTTGTGGTCCTGTTTTTTTAACCACATGCTTTACGCAGAATCACACAGAATCACAGGATGGTTGAGGTTGGAAGGGACCTCTAGAGATCATCTAGTCCAACCCTCTGCTCCAGCAGGGACACCCAGAGCATGGGGAACAGGGTGGCAGCCAGGCGGGTTTGGGAGATCTCCAGAGAAGGAGACTCCACAGCCTCCCTGGGCGGCCTGTTCCAGGGCTCTGTCACCCTCACAGTAAAGAAGTTCCTCCTCACATGGAGATGGAATTGCCTGTGTTGCAGCTTGCACTCATTACCCTCTGTCCTGTAATTGGCTACAACTGAGAAGAGCTTGGTCCCTTCCTCCCTACATTCTCCCTTCATGAACTTATACCTGTTAATCATATCCCCTCTCAGCCTCTTATCTTCTCCAGAGAAAACAGGCCCAACTCACTCAGTCTCTCCTCATATGAGAGATGCTCCAGTCTCTTAGTCATCTTTGTTGCCCTCCGCTGGGCCCTCCCTAGAAATTCTTTAGCAGTGCACAATCTTTGTAAGGGAAAAGGGAACCAGAGGAAAAAGCAACGACTCATTGCTAAAGGAAAGGAACCTTTAACAGCTTAGCCTGTCTTTTCAGTAGGGAGTGACCTTCAAAAATCATTCATAGTCTCCTACTAAAAGTTCATGAGGGTGCTAAGCTACAAGCAAGGACACCAAAAACACTAAGCAAGCGTGTCCTCTTCTGACTTTTACCCATTTCTGACTCTGTTCTTTCAAGGTCAACTGCAGATCCAGCAGATGAGCTCATGTCCTGCCTATCCAGGCTGGCAGAGCTGCCAGGGCCCTTTGCTGGGCCAGGACTCCACACAGCTTCACCCTGGTTCTGCCCCGGCTAAACCTGCCCTCGCTGGACGGACACTGGGGACAGCCAGGGAGCACTGAGGCTGCTCTGTTTTCTTCCCTTTGAGCCTTCTCCATGACTCCTGGAATGTGTTTGCATATGGTGGAAAAAATGCACAGAGAAGCAGCCAGGAAAGTCACCCTTCCTGCCTGCGCTTGGCACCGGCGCCGGGCTCCGTCTGGGCAGCGCAGGGAGAGGGACAAGAAGGAGAAGTCCCGGGTCCGCGCAGCACTTGAGCTGCCTGGGGATGAACTGAATTTTGGGGGTAGTCCATTTTTGGAATTAAATGGGAAAGTGTATGACGTGTACCGATGTGTGCCATGCAATTAGGCTTGCAGCTAAAAAAAACGCAACACTGTTTTGATCTGAAAAACTGGCTTGCAAGGGATACAAAATACAAACTTTAGAACCCATCTTCTGCTCCCCGTTTTCATTAATGGGTATTTTTATTCCATCCTAAGCAACAGCAAGAAGGCTAATTAGTTTAACAAGTACAACAAATGCTTTTATTGACAAAAAAAGAATCCTTTGAAATACACATTACATTCACAAAGGATTAAATTACACTCTATTATCCATTTTCCATAAAATAAAGATTACTTTGATAAATCACGACTAATGTTATCTTTGGCTGATAAGAACGCCGTGCTTATTTATGCGGCTTCTATAAATAGTGTGCTCTGATTTTTTTTCTCACTAAATATAGTCCAATGATACAGTCTGCCAGGCATTTTCCTGCAATTTTGACAATACCACATCTGTGAACCAGGCAGCAAATGAAAGCTCCATTGTCTCAATATGAAACATGCAACAGTTTTTTTTCGTCAGTCGCATTACAGCAATTTATCAAACATCTTTGAGCCATATCTTGCTTTATCAGGATTTTCTTACTGCTACAGTAAGGTAGTCAAAATAACTTTTTTTTTTCTTGAAGGCTATCTGGTTCTTCTTTCCACTGTGTAGCAAGCCTGGTGCAACCACTGCATGAGTGGGTCATACCCTGATTTAGAGCTTAATGCATCTATGAGTAAGAGCACATTTGCATGTGTAAAGGGCTCCTTTGCATTTAAGTCTTTCAATAGCTTTGCACTAGTTGAATTGGCTGATTACCGCAAATTGAATCACATTCAACCTTGACGTGTTGAACAGTCAGTCAAGGATCATGGAAGCAAGGAATATCCTGATTTTACTTCATGTTTTTTCCCACACAGTCTCTACATTGAGTTGCTCACTACCCATGATTGTGGATAAATTGGGGAGCCAATTCTACATAATGAGATGCCACCAGGTATTGAATGTTTGGTAAGCAGCATACCCTGGGCTAGAGAAGACATATCCACATGAACTCTAACCTGGCAATCAAGGGAAAGAAGGGCAGCAAATGCCTAGTTCAGTATAGGAGCACACGCTCACCTATGAAACCTGGCTGCGTTCCACTTGGCTTCTCTGGAAGATGAGCCCAGATCCTCTCTAGAACTGCGACACGTTTTTAACAGAATCTGAGCTGATAGGAAGGGAAGTCTTTAGGAAGAATGCTACAAATGGCAGCGACAGCTGGTTGGAAACATTCAGATTAATTGAAAAGAAGATTCAGATTTAGAGTGGTTAGAATTAAACTTTTGGGAGGAGTTTGATTATGGTAATGCCAACCTGGTTTCTGCCAGTTACTCATGCAGTGGGCTGCTGGGGAGACCTCTGCTTTTATTTTGGCCTATACAAGCTTCCAGCCCCTTCTCTTGGCGAGTTGATGGAAACACAAGATGCACCAGGAACTCAGGCTCCTGAGCTAGAGCTATTCAATAAAAGAAGACATGTAGCTCTGGGGGTGGGGCGTCACATGCATATCCATTCCATCCCTCCAAAATTGGGGTTTTCATTTTGAATGGAACAAAAACTCAAAGAAAATCTAGTTCATTTCATTCTATATGGAGGAATATGGAATTTTCTCTCCACCAGGACAAATACCAAAGTTTAAGTTACACTCACTTCCTTAAAAAAAAATAATAAATGAATACTTCCAAATTCATTTTCGTGTGTCACTGTGTGACTCAGAGAATCTCATCATACTCCCCATTATCCGAAAGGCAGACTGACTTGGTGCAGTAGCTGCAGGATTCTCTTGATGTTTCATTTGTGACCTGGAAAAAATTACGGTACTGGAAGTATTTTAAGTAGTAAAGCCATTATGTGAAAAAGTTAAGTTACATCATATACTTTTTACTTCCACTGTCAGTTTCTTCCAATCTTCCTTCTGAAAATTGTCCCAACTATTTAAACATTTGCCTACCTTGCCCTGTTTTGGATTACTGCCCTCAGCAGCAGCAAATGATCTTTTCCTGATTTTTTCCCTCCACGCAAGTGGCAATAGATTTCAAACAAACCTACACCCATGTCTGCGCTGCTTCTAACAAGGATGTTATTTTAGTCATGGAAATAAGTTTAACCCCTTCTTTCATTTTCAAAATTTTATAGCCTTCCTACCCCTCGTATTCACTGGGAAGTGACTCAATAAGGCAAGAAAATGGATTAAAGAACATCTAGAGTTTTAAAAAATGAGTGAAAAACTTTCGTGTTTCTGAAAGTATTTTCCACTTTAAACATTTATTTCAGAAACTTTAACAAAAATAACTGCATCTGAGGCTATGAAGAAACAGAATGAAGGTCTATACTGCCTATACTCATGAATCACAAAATAGGGGAAATTCAGAAATGCTGCAAAATAAAGGTAGGATCACCGTTCCAAGCTCCCTTAAGTTTCTCATATTCTACACTGGGAAAAAAAAAAAGCAGTGGCTGGACTTCTGTGTGATTGCTATAATTAAGCAACTTTCATTTACTTATTTATGGTAGTGTGTGTATTTATAAAAAGAAGGAAGGAGAAACTGTATATACAAAATTGAACATACAGGCATTGCCAGTTGTACTGGCTAACACCCCTTGGATCTACCCCAGACTCACCTCTGTAGCTTACGTTGGCTCAATACTTCCATTGGCAAGAACATCCAAACGAGAAGGTCTAGACTTCACTCCTCAGAAGAGCCTCCTATACGGAGCACAAAGGCAAATTCTTCCTAGCTTATATATCACTTGTCTCCTGTATTTCACAGCAATTTAAGCACAGTTGCTCAGTTCAAGAGAGCGGCCTCACCTCAGGCACGCAGCAGCCCAGAGGTTAGGATGCTCTCCAGGAACGAGGCAGATGCCACAGAAACTCCTTTGGCCAAAACTGACCTCTCCCACCTCCCAGGAAAGTGCTCCGTGCAAAGAGAGGCCCTTTACTTAACTCCTCTCAGACATAAGCACAGGAAATAATAACACGGAAGACAGAAACGAGCAAATTGAAAGCTTTTATTGGCATATTTTCTCATCTGCGACCCTTTGCCATTTACTTCCATTGCACAGACCAAAATTAGTGACTGATTCTAATTTTCATAAGTTACAACCTGTATAGCTTTTGTATTATTATTAAGAGGAGAAGATGAAGTCACGGATAAGTCTCTAAATGGACTTAAAGACAAGAAATAACTTTCTGAATTGTCATGCAATCTATAGACTCATTACTGAAGACAGGTTCATTTGTATTTTGAGGTAAAAGTTCTCTTGAGCTTGTTATTAATAAGATAATCTATAACCCTTTCACAAGTGATATAATTTTCACATACTAGATAACAATTTTAAGCATATTAAGCAATGTTAACATATTAAACGACAAAAAAAAATAGCCTTCTAAATATATACACTACACTAATGCAAAGTCTGAATCATTTAAAGTGCCTTAGAAAGCATAACTGGAGCTCTTCTAACTTTCCTGATTTCTTTATCTAGTGGAGTTGGAGTTTCTACATGGAGTAAGTCCAAACATAAATTCTTTCATAAATTGGAATATTACATCTGACCCAAGAACGCAAGAGACACTTAAACTTTCAAATCTTATTTACATTAAGCCAACAAATTTTGCCCATTAAAAAGGGAGATACTGCTTTAGAGTGGTATTACTACCAAAGCTGGTTTCTGAGTGCACTGAGTATGACTTGTGTAATGAGTTTTTCAAGAGATGAAAATGTTCTGTTGCTGCTTCTCTCTACTCCTTGCTCTTTCATAAACATTCACTAAACTGCAGCTTTGGCTGCCACTAAGTATATACTTTATATGGGATATATTATCATTAATAAAAACATCTATCTTAAATTTAACTGATTCAATATGAATGACTGCTCATCTCTCCCTTAACATACATAAATACGCAACAACAACTGCAATAAGTGTGTAATAAGTGTGTAATACTCATAGAAAAACTCAAGAGAAAATGAAAAAAAGATTCTCCCAAGAACTTTCCAAAATCCTTCTTAAACCACTCCCCACCAAACTCTTTACGCTAACCTTTTATTTCCTGACATCTTGGGGATTAAAAGGCTTCCCTGAAAGCAGACTACGTTTTCTTCAATACGCAAAATTATCATGAGGCACGACAGAACAAGTGTCCTATTTATTACACAATTTACTCTTTACTAGAAGGAAAGGTCACCCGAATTACAGCTCTCTCTCTAGTTTCCAGAGGGAGCATGTTCAGCTTTATATCGAAGGAGGGAAGCAACAAACCCCTCACTCGTGGCTCCCTACCCGGAGCCAGGCACAGCTACATACCCTGGCTTTCCTACACAGTCCCCAGAACAACTTAGGGCTGCTACGTTTGCACCACTGCAGACGTGAACCACTAAAATCTTATGAGCTGAAAACGTTTGTTCTAAAGAAATTGAACTTTTTCTGTACTAAAAAGAAATTAAAAACCCACAAAAGAAAACAAACAAAACCCAGGCAAACAAAAAGATGATATATACGGGAAGGAGGAATGGCTGCTGTGCAAATCGCCTTCCAAACCTACACTGTTACTGGACACAACCTTAAGAGTTCCACCTGCAAGTTTCAATGGATACAAAGATTCTTGCAGAGGAACTGCTCTAAAACAAAATCCATCACAGTAAAGGAAAATTATAAAAATATGTCTTAAAACATGACATTCCAGATTATGTACATTCAAGTAGTTCAAGTATTTCCTTTTCTTACAGGAAGCAACAGAACTGGCAACACAGATAACGTATCAAAAACCCCACAAAAAGCACACAAATTCTGTCTCAGTCGGATTTCATCAGTCGGATTTCAAAAACAGCATCAACTATTCTGAAATGATCTATAGGCTGTAAAACCAATGTATCTCAAGACATTCAAAAGTACATCAGTTGTAGTGAAATTATACAGGATCAGTGTTTATTGATGGTAGGCTGAGAACAAGAGAATGAATGAACAGGGAAAGGAGCAAATAAAAATAATGATGAGGTTATAAGAGAATTGAAAGGATTATGTACAGCAAGGCAAAAGCTTCTTTCTCCTTTACTCCCTTTTTCAAAGAGACTGCATATTGTGAAGGCCCATGTCTGTTACAGAAACATATTAAAATAAGTTTTAATTTATACTCTATTTTCTGGCCTACAGAAATATTCAAGACACAGGAAAGACTAGACTTCTCTCGAGCAGATTAAGCAGAATTGCATTCCTACATATTCTAATTGTATAGTTATAATTCAAAACTCAATACAGAAAAATACAATACAAGCAAACACAGTATGACGAATTCTGGTAATTCTGGGGGAAGCAAGACTATGAAAGTAATGTCTGGACTTGATGAGGAGTTCTGTGCAGGATGGTTTCTGGATCCTTATATTCATTTGAGGGGTTCATCACAGCTGCATATAACTCACTGTAAGCTCTGCAGACCAGTTCCGTTGACTGTTTTATTATCTGCTCTCTAAAAGAAACAAAACAAAAATGTAATTGCAAATTTTAAAAAGTTTAACTATACTACCTGCAAAAAATTAAATATAAAATATAAATGCAAAAAAAAAAAAGGAAAAATGTCACTGTCACTGACAGTGACACTGTAAGTAACTGTCAGTTATTAAAAAGTCCTTCTAATTCAACAATGAAAATATCTTAAAAGTTTTACAATAAAAGAAGGCTTTTCCCTCTCTTTGCATTGTACTCGCAAGCTCATATATATGATTTTGATAAAAAAGAATTTGATAAGAAAGAATTTCTGCCATCATGAAAAAATGGCAAGGGATAGAAAAAGAACAATATTTAATCTGCATATAGTATTTTTTCACCTGTACTCTCCTGCATTGTTCAACAGATGATAATCTTACTGGTCTGTCTCTGCCTCCTGAGGCTGTTGGTTATCCCCTGTAAATTTATGGCTTTTCATCCACCAGCAAACGTATTCTATTCATATTATCTGGACACCACCTGATTCCGTAGTCTGTCACGGATCAGGAAAAGCTGAACGTGATAATGGTCAGAGACTTGAAAGTTACTGTGGTCTTTGACAAGCAATACTATGACGCCTGTATCCTGTTCCTCTTGAGGATCAAAATGAACAAAGATGTTCAGGGATCTGATGCTAACATTTAGAGAAAATGTTTTTTTCGAAGACAAACGAATGTTTTTGTTTTACTTTGTTGAATGAGTTTGTTTTTATCACCATGGTAACATGCTTACAGTTGCACATGCATTTTTATCTATCATAAGCAGTAGTTACAACCATTACACAGCCAACCTTGTGCAAATGGACCATGAGGAGAAATGGAGGTACCACAAACTCCAACTCAGCTGTAACAGCAGCAAAGAAACAAAATCACCAAAACTGCATCTGCTAAAACCAGTGCTCAATTTGCCAGCTGCTGAGCACAGTGAGTGGGAATTGACACATAATGTAATCTCAAATACCAACTGTGCAGAATTTTATCTTTTCGGAAATATTAAGAAATGGAAAATATGATAAAGAAGAGACAAAAGTTATATTTTAATCCAATGCCAAGTACCCAGCCCTCAGATAAACACAATCAAATGCCTGCATTTCTACATTACTTAGAATTCTTGCAATTAGCAAATCTAGAAACACTGTTTTAAGGGAAATACACTGAAGGTTTCCAGGTAAACAACTGCCTGTGAACGCACTCCCGAATCGCTAAGCTGCATAACATGAAAATGTTTTAGGAAAACGCTGCACAACGGAAGTTGTATAAAGCTACCAACTCCATTACATAGAATACCACTAAACTAAAAGAAAAAGTTTATTAAAATGTTCCAGGGAGCTGAATAGCGTCAAACTCATCTCTCCATCAAATAATATCAGTGTCATTAATCATCACATTAGGATTTCAGTTGCCATAACAACATGATACAATTTATCACTAACACAAAATGCAGCACTTTCTAAAAATACTATTTCCAGCATTCAGTTTCTGTGATCCAATGCAAATGAAAAGAGCTTTATGAGACCAACAACCATATATATAAATAGCTTAAAACCTTTTAAATGAGCAAAGGAATTCGAAAGACAACAGCACGCACTAACAAATATTAACTTCAATGGGATTTCTTGTGTTTAACACTATCCATTTGATGCCTAAGGGACTAACAGAGTTTTTATTTTTAATTCTGTGAAGAAGCTGATCTACAGCATTGAGTCACAGGAGACTAACAAATCACTGTGTGTCAGCGGAGCTGTAGTGGCTACGGGAATTGTCCTCATATAGGTTCCCCACTCACCTATTGTTGCAAGATAACACGAATTCAGTTTAAACTGCAATGAGAGAGGTTTCAAAACCTCATAAATGGGGTAAGACTATGAATGCATACATAACCAGTTTATCTTACCTCATCTGACAGAAAGAAATTATTAAGTCTAAGTAATTTCACTGTGTGCCTGACTTTTCATGGTAGCATAAAGTCTACCTCTAAAAAATTGCTTCTGTGTGAACAGTGAAAAATTGAGGCTTTCAAAATACATTTAGTGTTACGATGATTTTTAAATAGACCTACATTAAGGAAAAGAGTTAAAATTCAGACTTAAGAGCTTGACATGTAGAAGTAGAATTGGAAATACTTCATTTACATTATTCTTTAAGCTCATCTGGTTGATAGGTACTGGCATAGAAGAAAAACTTCCATACAAGAGAGCTTGTTCTGCTGGCCGAGCTGTGGGAACAGGAACCTCAGAAGAGAGATTCAACGAACAGCTGAGAAGAAACATCTTGTAAGGCCACAGTCACTTCTTCAATGACAGACTCCAGGCTAAGGCAAGTTGAACCATGCTCGCATCATGGATCTTCAGTAATATATTAAAAGTGACTCTGGTTTGCAGATAAACTTAATGCTAGCATTTATATTTCTCTGCTAAGAATAGTAACAGGTTTCTGGGCTCGTATGTTTTTCAATATAGGTGACTTTGAAACTTCAACTAGGAAAGATCTGGAGTTTTAAAAGCAAGTAGGCTACAAATTCTAACTGATCAGTTAAACAACTTAATGAAAAAGAAAAAACAACCAACCAACCAACCAAAAAAAACCCCTTAATATCTTAAAAATGCTAAAATAGGATCAAATAATGACCATTTTGATCATTATACATTTGGTCCTGAGAACTTCAGTTAGAATATGTAGTTTAGAATTACATATGCCCAACTCAGACACTCAGAAGCCTAGGCCACCAAATAACCACTTATGTTATTACTACACATCTGAAAAACTCTTCAGAAAGTAACAATCTTCTTTCTTCAGATAGCAGAATGTTTAACGACTTCATTTTCAGACTATCATTATATGCAGACCACGCAACTATTATACAAGTTGCACTCAGCACTTCTGAAGAGCCAGCTTACCTGGTTGATCTAACATGGTGCCAGAATTGTGACTTTGTGACAGAACTGAAAACAAGAAATTGGTGTTTGGACTTCCAATTCCCTACACAGATGATGTCTGTCCTATTACTCAGGCCATTCCCATGTATTTCTGAAACTTTTACTCAAGTAGATCAAAGCAACATATTTGTGCCAAGTGCAAACATCTGACTGAACACTGACATACAGAGAATCTAGAAAACAGTATACAAGTCACAGACAGATAAGAGATGCATGCATTGTGCAACCTGTTCTAGTGTTCAATCACTCTCAGCGAAAAAATGCTTTCTTATGACACTGCATGATAGAGAGTAATAATGAGACTCCAAACACTCTAGAATTATGTGAAAATATGATGTACTAGTCACAATTTTTCACATTATGTAACTTGTATTTCTCACAGAAGCATGAAAAATAATGTCAAGAAAACTTTCTGATCAGTGCAGCATATAATTTTCTGAATTTAAATACTACAAAATGAGTTCATACAATTCATATTTAAAATGCATAGCATCTTCCCTAGCCTTAGGGTTCAGTTGGCCTGTATTTGTTGTGTTTCAGAATATACTCACAAAACAAGAGAAGTTATACATAAGCAAATCCACTTTTTTAATGATTTCTGCTTTGAAAAGTATTATTTGAAAAGCAAAAAGTAATTTCAGCACAATACTTGATGAGACAAGAATGTCAATATTCTGCTGTAGAAGACAACAAAGTTGAAAAATTCTAGACTTGATTTAGCAGAGGAGACAAAAGAAAACTCGAGTGCAGAATTACTTATTTCATCTCTCTTTGGAAGGCTTATAAAATAGTTCTAAAGCAATTTACAACTAAGTTGANAAAAAAACCCAACACAGTAGAACATGTTCAAAAGAGATGAATGCAATTTATTTTGATAGTGTCCATTAAATGAGGAGTAACGACTTCGGAAAGTTACAGAATTACATATTCCTAACAGCTTGTTCAAAAAGCAGACAGGCAAAACAAATTGAATTGTGACCTGAAGGACAATGCAAATGTGATTACAGCTGATAACGTGAATTCTCTATCGTGATCCACTAAAAACTAATCAAATTCATCTTTCTGATTATATACAAGCATAACAGAAATTCAAAGTTAAGATACTTACTTCACAGTGGCACTCAGGAGGAAATTCAGCTGGGACATTAATAGACTATCTGGAGCAGACAGATAGCGATCAAACTGAGCCTACGGGCCATAAAAGAAGTACGAGAGTATGAGAACAGCATATTAAATCTTGCTCGTATATGGAGACAGATAAAAGAATACAGATCTCTGAAAAGTGATTATATTAAAATCGCACCTTCTTATTTGAAAGAATTTGCTGTTTTTATACATTTAGGATAGAACTCAACATAATAAAAAATATTAAAGGCAGAACTTAATAGCCAAACAAGCCAAACCTTGGCCTTCAGACAGCAACTCAGCCTCCTCAAACTAGTATTACTCCTTCTGAGAATCCAGGGGCACCGCTTAATAACCCTGTGAGAACTTAAATTGGGAGAAACAAGATCATGGGGCCTCTTCCTCCCCCTGTATAACGCAGTATAAAATACAAGTGCTTTGACTGTAGTAGTTTTGGAAAAGAAAAAGAATGTAGGAATGTCCTTATTGTTTTCTGCTATCTATTAGGTGATAACAGAGAAGATGGAGCTCAATGCTTCCCCGAAGTGCATCATGAAAACGAGGAACAACTGACAGAATTTACACTAAGGTAAATTCTGATTCAATATTAAAGGAAATTCTCACCAACAGCATAGTGAAACATTGAGTATATTATCCAGAAAATCTCTAGAAACACTCAACTAGACAAGGCAACTAACAACAAGTCAATGAGAGAAGTAAACTAACTTCCCAGAGAGACTACTTGGGGCTTTCCATCCCAATTTATTCAATGGTTCAATGACGCCAGGGATCACTGGAGTGAATTCCCAGTTTGGTGCTGGAATTGGGACTCCATCCAGCTGGGTTCCTGTATTCCTTATTACCCAACTCAGTTTCAATAAGACACAAGATGGCCAATGTGATCATGCAACATAAGCTCTACTCTGATTCCCAGGCCGCATCTTTTCAAGCTGATAAAACTTAAAATCCAAGTCCAACCACCATTCAGATCGAAGTAGGCAATGAAGTCACTAACAGTTCTTATGACTTAGGTTTTTAGGGTTGTCTATCCACATTGGGAATGAAATGGAGTTTTAGCTGAGAGAAGAATTGAAGACTTTACTAGAACACCATTTCTGAGCACATATGAGCAATTTAAAAATCAGTGACCAAGAAATCTGTATAAAATGGGAGGCCTGGACAGTCTAGACTGAATTTACATGGGTTTAATTGTGGCATATTGGGTTCCATCTTGGTGAAAGTGTGTTCACACAAGTATACATTAAACAAATTATGAGGAAAATGAAAACAGAATTAATCAAAAAACTAAAAGAAAAAAGAAACTAAAAAGAAACAGCTTTCTTCTTCTCCTTCTCCCCCCATCTCCCCTTCCCTTCCCCTGCCGGAAAGGAAATTACAGTTAAGCTTTCAGAATACAGCTAAACTTGGTTAACAGGAAGTGTGGAAGTTCATATACTGTTGGCTACTGAACTCTTGAGATTACTATCTCAATGGAAATTAGTCTGTATACTAGAAAAGAAACATTAGCTGCTAATTTGTTTTAAAAAATATTGTAGCTTTTAAAGAAAAAAAAGAAAAAAACTTGTTGCATATATTCAGCACCTATCTTCCAATTTTAATTGAGCTATTTGCATAAAGTGAATGCCTTAGGACTAAAATTATAAATGATAGCAGACCTATATTTCAAAGCATACAGGCAAAAAGAAATTTTCGTGATTAAAACTAATTAGAGCTAAGTATCTGCTTTTAGCAGTTAAGGGTGACTCACGGGACAACACTCGTGTAAGTAAAGTTCTGTTTCTCAAGTCTTAGAAACTAATACTCTATTACTATCATCTCATAAATAATTTATACATCTATATATATATATGTTCAGTACTCGAAGCAGCCCAACTACTATAAATGAAGAAAGTATTTCCAGATATTTAATTCAGCTGTTACTGAAGAGGAAGATCAGTTAGTTGGTTGTGCCATTAGAGTTAAACCATTTAGATGAGTATCCACTGTGTCACACAATTAGCACTGTTCTTTTCCATGTCACAGCAGTAACACAACAATATGAAACTGTAATGACAAAATATGAAATTGTAAAATGCTTACCATTGCAGCCTTCAAGGATACTGAGTCTAGACTTGGTAAATTTGAAAGTGGACCCTAAGAATCATCAAAGGAAAAAAAAAAACCTAAACATCTTAAAACATGGAAGAAGATAAGAAATAATTCTACAGTATCATTACTCTGGAAACCTCTAGAATTTTATATGTTTAGAAACTGAATCACTGCACCAATACTGCAATGCTGTAACTGTTCATTTGTATTCCACCACTTCCCTAAATTAAAAATAGCCAGTACAGAGTTCTTCATGTATCATTTCCTATCCTTTTCTTTCTTCTTTACTATTAACTGACAAGATCAAGAAAAAAAAAAAAAAAGCCTTCCACAAAGTCTGGGACACTAACTGAACTGCAAAGTTGTTCACATGTCTTTAATACTGTGCAATTACAGAGAGCAACTTCTTTCTAGGTCATCTACTCCTGAATCCTGAAAAAACAGTCTACTTGCAAAAAAAAAAAAAAAAAAGAATTGCCTACATGGCCTTATGGAGCACACATGGTCTCTGTCTAACCCCAGAGTAAATCCTGGAACAGCCTCATCCTAGCAGCCAGGCAGCTTGACAGATCTGAATGAAAATACTACTACCCTCATTCTATTAAACAATCTGCAATCAGCCCTGATTTACATCAGAATTTGAAATTGTTTTTAGAATAGGAGATAGATGCATGACTAGAAAACCAAGTGCAATTTGTAATCAAATAACTAATCCATTTAAATAGTTCTCTTTAATAATCTCTGTCGAGTTTGAGCAATTTATGTAAAAATGTTGGGTGAAGAAAAAAAAACACAAAGCTTTCCAACAGATTTTTTTTTTTTTTTTCGGAAACATTTTTTCACTTTAGTCAGATTAATTTTATGGTCATGAAAGGACACAGTCATAGGTGAAGGTTGACAAAAAAGGTGCAGAAGCACTGAATTCTACTTTTAAACTTATTCTAAAAAAATCTTCTAATCACTTTCATAATCTCCTTTTCTAAAATAGTCATTGCAATGAATAAATTCATAGAAAAAAAGATATATAATTTCTTATTAACATTAATCTGCCAATTTTCTACAGAAAAGAAAAGAAGAAGCAGTAATTGTCTCATGCATCCATGGAATCTGCTTGGTGCATAGTGTTAAGATATGTTATCAAAAAGACCTGAAGATGTCTGGTATGTTCCAGGCGTCATCAATATGTTACACATATTCACTGCTTGGGTTTTAAAGTCAACTTTATTCAGAAACATTTTAAGATATATTAACCAGCTATACAGTGATGTGGAGCAGGTGGAGAGTGCCTGTGATAGACAGCACCTGCTGATTGTGCTCAGATCAGTTGCACAGAAAGACTGAAATATTCCTAACCTGCTTGGCTTGTTCTATGTATAATGTAGGGCAACATTAATTGCAAGGTGCCTTTGGATGGTAGTCCATATGAAAATAAAATAAAATAAAATAAAATAAAATAAAATAAAATAAAATAAAATAAAATAAAATAAAATAAAATAAAATAAAATAAAATAAAAATCATCGAGTATTACTGAGTTTTTGCTTTCACAGAAACGTATTTTTCAAAAACCTACTGCCAAAATTTGTATAGTTGGCATGCATGCAGTAGCTCTGGAACATATATATTGTATCAGCTTACCTGTTGTGGTTTATGTTGCTGCACTGTGTTGTATATGTAGCTTAGACCAGCTCTCGTTAACACGTAGGAAGCTTGTTCATTTATGAGTGTATCTAAATGAGCTTCAATCTGAAATTTTGAGCATAAGACATTTATAAAACTTGCACGTAAATTTTAAATAGAAAAATTTACAGAGTTAAAGATTAGGTGTAGCTATCATCTTAGAAAGCAAAAACCATGAAAAGGAAAATGATTGCCCAAGGATATACCATAAATACATACAGCACAATTATTTCTGTCATTTATTAATGTATTTCAAATTATGAGAAACAACAACAAAGTTAACACTTACGATACCTAACAAGAGAATAAATTTTGCACTTTTAAAATCAACAGCACTAAAAATTAAAAATAACAAAGTTCTAATCTTACAAATTGACTTATCATTTTTTTCTAGTACTTTGTTCACTGGTACATTGCTATTTTGTTCATTTATTCACTGAAAATATGTGATAAAAGTATCAACCAAATCTTATTGGAAGCAGTATGGCAGTTTTGCCATGAACAATCTTTCTTGAGGAAAACAAAATCCAAACGAAACCATGAGCTTTAAATTCAATGACAGGCACGATTAAAAAAAAAAAAAAAAACCACTTCAATTGAAAGAATCTGCCCAAAATGGAAAATGAAATTACAGCTATGAATTTTGCTTCTCTTCCTATAAAAATATCTTTTATAACAGAAAGTATCTCTAATCCTATTCATAAATATATTTTAAATTCTTAGCATAACCTCTACTTTGCAGAGAAATCAGTAAACCAAGTCACAGCTGCAGCAATCTCCTTCAAGTATTCTCAAAAAGAATATTATTACTCCATATACTTCATATACTTTTTATAACTATCTCACATTTGTTTAATTTCTCCGTCTCAATCAAGAGAAACAATTTGTAATTTATCAAATGGTAGCAAGAGTTACACACCTGATATTTTACAGTTCACATTCCACTTCCTGAAACTCTTTAGAAAAAACGTATCTTTTTCTTTTTTAATTTAAAACGTCAGGTTTTCTTTCTATGAAGAATGTCATTCTTATTAAACACGCTATTCTAACTTCACCTTAATAACCTACTTATGTACCATCTTAAGATTTTTTTCACTTTACTCCTGTATTTACATAATGGCTGACAAAAGCAAATGGTGTTAAAACATACAATCTTCAGTTGTACTGCTTCCTTTCAGAATAAATAAATTGCAGCATTTACTACAAGGATAAAAAAAAAAAAAAAGCTACCATACTGGAAATTTGAGACCCCGTAAAGACAATTGGTGGGGGGGATCTTTTTTGTGTCAGAGCTAAAGGGTGCAAGAAATTCTAATTAGGAGTAGCTGGTATCACCTTCCAATAAGAAGATGTGACCTTCTTTCAAGTTCTCCAACTTCAAAAGTTCTCCTGAGCTGCGTTACAGAAATGTTCTATGTAACAAACCTACAAATGGGCAGTGCCTAAGTATTCCTAAGTCAATGGTTTATAAACTGCATTTCAATTTCAAAACAGCAGCAAATCTGAACTATTATCCTGGTATGTTAAGTGAAGCCAATAAACAAATGAAGTAAAGGAAGAAGTGAGAGATGAAGCAGTAAGTTGATTTATGCTATATTCTTATATTAATATCCTCTTATAATGGAATAGTCAGTCGTTTGACTTAATTTTCAACTTTAATTTTCTTCATCTCATATAGTTTGCGGAGGAATATTACAATGATTTGGATAACAGAAATTTTCTCTGATTTGCATTTATCTGCAACTAAAAACAACAACAAAAACAATCTTCTTATCAGTTGTCTTTAACTGTTTAAAGACACAGAGCATAAAACATGCTGTGCCCCAACAGCTCTGATAACAGAGATGGCAGCCAATACCAGATAAGGACATCTCTTATCCTAATAGCTTCTTGAATCTGAGGCCAAGTGAACATTTCAAGTATGCTCACTTCACAGCTAATATCTGAAAAATCAGGAAAAAAAATCATTTTCTATTTGGACTGTTAATGCTTACCTGAAACTGTAACATTTCTAGACGTTTGTCAGTGAACTCGAAGAGAGCCAAAGTCGTCTTCATCATATAGAGTGAATTTACCATGAAGGTTGCCATATCTGCTGTGCCTAAACTACTGGCAGACATAGTACACATCTGTAGTAATGGATCTAGCACACAGGACAGAACCTAAAATGGAAAAACACACAGAAAAGGGGAAAGGAAATGCGACTTAGGAAAAGTGCCATACTAGGCTTCTAAGCTCATTCACTCTCTATCATGTATTTATTCCCCAAAGCAGAATAAAGAAAAATGAGAATTTCCAACTGAGAAAGCAGTTTTCTACTGGACTTCTCAGCAGGTGATTGGCTACCATAGTAATGGCTGAAGTGTAAAAACCTGAAAGGAGCAGATTCCAACCCAGCAGAAGGAAGAGTAACCCACATTAGGTTAACTGGCAATTGTGCAATCTTAAGGGAATATTTGCTTAATGTAGTAGTAATTGGATAATAGAATTTAGATACTGTGCTAGACTTGCACTCCATACTGTACTGCAATTATCTGCTTTGGTAGTCACCCTCTTATTCCTGTTAAAAATGGAGGATTGGGAAAAGAGTCCAAAATGGCATCAGATAAAAAAGCTTTATGTTTCACTCATCTTTTCTGTATCAAGACTAACAAAATAAATCAATAAATAACAAGGAAAGAAAAGAGCTGCCAGACATCCTTATACCTGCACAAAGTCAGCTTGACGGGCATCCAAAGGAACCACAGATGAGTCGTGAGACGCCAGAATCTCCCGCAGCAGGTTCAGTGTTTGATTCAGCGCAGCGCTGGGGCCAAGGTCTGGAGGGGGCAGTTCAACCTAAAGGAACAAGAAGAGATGGGTTTTTTTTCTTTATTCAATTTACAGCAACAACATGCACTCTAGTAACACACATACTGGCAGCTAATAGTGAAGTCACACATTTTAGGGAAGGGCTTCAGCTTCTGACACTGGAGGTCCAGTATTTTTCTGGTGATGACTGCCTGCAACTTTAAGCAAAATCATCCCATTCATCCCATCAGTTTGACAGGCAAGTCAAACTGAATTCCTCTTTCCACTTGGACTGATTTTACAATCTAGAGAGCCTGACATACTTGTTAATTAGCTGCCAAACAACTCCTATGTTGCCTGGCACCACCGAGTCCACCTTGAGCAGGACCTCCCTTACACACCCCAGTGTTTAACTGCTACTGCAGTCTAACACACACGTGACAGTCTCCACTGGTAGCAAGGCTGTATCTTCAGTCACTGGTGCACAAGGTATCTGGGTACAAACTAACCAGCCTAAGTACACCCATACAGGCTGTGATGATTATGCATGAACTGGAATGAAGGCCTATCTCAAAAATGAAAAATAAGAATCAGACACTAAAAAAAAAGTTTGCAAAGTTCACAGGAAAAAATAACATGACTTTCTGAGTCAGGCTGCAAAGTACCTGAATTGGACTAAATGCCTGTTCTATTTTTAACAGAGAATTACATATTTTAGACTTTCTTTGTAACAGACAAATAGCCACTGTATCATTTGCAAAATCTTTATATAATATGTAACCTGGCATATTTTTTCCCAAAAAACACTTTAGTTCAAATGTAGCTGATGCTTCTCCTTCTCAACGTAGTCCCAAACTGTCTTCCAGTTGTCAACAGTCCCCTACCAGAATCAAGCCGTGTGGTCTCAGTTCCTTCCTTCCCCTCCTTCCTCTGTCTCCTGCTTGTGCCAAGTCTGTTATAGATCTGGCTGCATCATGCAGGAGCAAGGAGACCCTGGGGAATACAGGGAATGCGGGCACCTCAAGGCAAAAATCTCTCTCCAGAAGAGATAAGGAAGAGCTGAGATTGCCATGCCTTGGGACTACCTTCTGACTCCAGATCAATCAGGAAAGAAGGCGGCCTTAGATGGACCCCCATATCACAGGGAGTATGTTCCATACCTTCCAGAATAACAATTGCTCATTAATAGCATAATAAATGAAATAAGTTTCCCATGGAAGGTGAGGGAAGGAGAGGAACAGATTAAAGAGGCAGAGACTAATGGCCAAAGAAGATGCAGGATGACAGACATCACCTCAGGGCAGCCTTCCAGAGGCACCATTAAATGCATCTGTACCTGAAGAACTTGCTGCTAGAGAAAGAAGATACTGAACCCTCCCTTGAGCCTGATCTAGCTTTCACACTTTGCACATTTAGAAAACTCCCAAGATGCTGCAAATGTTCAGATATTGTTGCCAGATGAAAAAAAAAAAAAGAAATTTAATGCATTCTTCTGGATACAAAGTTTTTTACCATGCTCACTTCTAAGAGATATCACACTGAATTCAGGGAACTAATGGAAAATTAAAGCAGTAAGTACAGAGAACAGTTGTTGTTCAGCCTAATTAGTTTTTGAAGTTTAAAAAGAATATTCTTCTTGTAATGAAGAAAGAGTAATTCAGAAAAGACACTTACCTAGTGCTGATTAGTACCAAAGTTTACTGAAATTTACAGCAGAGAGTGACTTCCTGTTTACTCTTGTTTTTTATTAGGGGTATTGATTGTGCCCTGAACACACTGTTCTCAGACCTGAACTGGACCGTGTTCAGGGATATTTTGGCATTAATTTGAGACTAGAGGCTGATGGGGTTTTCGCTTCCAACACACACACAGATCACAGCAAAGGTAATTTCAGACTTCTTTGCACAGAACTTTTGCCTCTCAAATAAATGACAGAAGCATCTAAATTAGCTTCATTTCTTATTTACTCTGTTCTCTTAAAATTCACCGTTGTCTAGATGGGAACAACATTGTGGAAAAAGAAAACACTGCAAGGAAAAAAAAGGTTAAGATCACTGGATTTCACTTGAGGCTAGCTAAAAATTCCTGACTACGTCAGTAAAGGAAAAGCAGCAGTAAAATTACTATGAGTAGCCAAAGCGAAGTTAAAACAAACTTAATATTCCCTTTTGGGCATCCATATAGGAAGAAAAGTTATTTTAGGAAGAAAAAAAAGACCAAAAATTGAAAAAACAAATGTATCTCAATTTATAGAGATATCCACGAACATCAATTCATGAGAACTAAATTGTTATTTCAAATAAAAACAAAAAATCCCCTGAATATGTTATATTCACTAAAATATTATAACTGATGCTATTTCCAAATAGCATGTTATAAAAGTTCCCTATTTCCAAATGGCATCAGTTCAGAAGATTTGACATGCATGCTGATTTCTATTTTTGAAGTAACTACTTCAGAAGCAAGCCAGATAGAAGCTCTTTTCTGACTAAAAGATTCTCAGAAAAGTTCTCTTAGCGATTCAATCCTGTTGAGATAATACTCAGTGCCTAGTCATAGACACTGTTAAGTTATAACCTATGTTTTTCAGTTGTGGCAAACCAAGGTCAACCAGATGTTCCCCAAAGCTCCCAAATCTTTGTTTTTAAAATCAAATATGGAAAACAGAAACAAATTCTCCTAAAATAAAAATATTTTAGAAGAATTTATTACATCATCATTTAAGCTCTTAAGCTCTAAATTGCAAAGTTTTGCATATCAGTGTACAGTTAATGCAGGTTTATGTGCCTATGAGAGAAAGTAGCTCAAACAACATTTTGGAGAAGTTAACACACAGCAAAAGCGTGGACAAAAAAAGAGGCAGTATCAAGAATCAGATAATCAAGAATCAGGCAGAATCAAGAAGAGAGTATATGTTAATTAACAGCCTCTCTCTTGCATTTATGAGGTGGGCTACATAGAAAAAAGAAATCATACACAACTCTAGTTTCTATCAAATACAGTAAGTTCTAGTAAGGACCGAAATGGAGCAAAACAACTTTATAAGATTATGAAGTTTTAAAGTTATATAAAACAAGAGACTAATTTTAAAACATTCCTTTTAAAAGTACAGGGCAGAGTGATAAAAAAGAGGCTGACAGCTTTCTGAAGGCCCTAATCAACTTTTAATGCTGTTTTTAAATAAGTTCATTGACAAGGAGGTGGAAAAAAAGCACTAAAGAGGTGAGATCTTGGGAAAAGCTATCTGGATAATTCATCCTGGCGGTTACAGCTGGTATGTGCCTATCACAAAGTTCACTCTACAGATTGAGACCACTTCTGCTACAGTAAGACAACAGCAGTATAAGAAGGGAAGCTTGAGAGAAGCTGCCTAAGCTCCTTGAGCCCCATTAGGATCCCACAGAGATCAGCAGGGGTTCACAAGTAGAATGCCTAATGAAACACTTTTCAGCTATTTTTACATTGGACCTGGAAAACAGAAGGAAACGGAAAAAAATCTTCTCAGTTTTGAGAGGATCCATGTGGATAAAGCAAAGCATAACATTAACCTGTATGACTACACTGGTTCAGTAGCTGGTTCCCACAAAACCTAAGAAGTTGTATTTTGACATCAGCCAAATTATCGGGGCGTTTAGCAGGTTTACAGTTCTTCCCATTTAATTCTTCAATCTTCCCACTTTAAAACTATACACACAATGTGATCGCCAAATTCAGTTTATATGCATCTATTCTAAAAGCACAGTATTAAGGAACAACAATCCCCCAAACCCGATTTATGGCACTCTATGAATGACCTTCTAACAGCTCATAGAGCCTCATGATACCTTCTATTCCATTTAGAATTAGATACCTTCTATTCCAAACTTCAAAGTTTTATTCTTTCACTTAGCAATCCTTCTAGAGTACTAGTGAAACATGCAGAACATAAGTCTGCCTGAAAAGTCCTACCATTTTAGTGTAGTCCTTGCTCCAGTAAAAGACACTGGCACAGGTTCGTCCAACAGTGGCTAAAATGCCTCCTCAAAAGACTTGTGATTCTGCACAGCCATTTGTTCAAGCTGAGAGAACAGTGAGAGGAGCTCACCCACTCCAACACATTAGGTACTTTCAATTTTGCTTCTGGCTTCAACAGAACACTATCCATTTTTTAGGCATTATTTTCGTTTAGCACTTTATTAATTTATTTATCATCTGTACAACAGTAATCTGTACCAGAACAACCCTATTTACAAGCATACAGTCAATTCTGATGCTATCCTTGGATTACCTTCTCCTGTGCCCTTTCATATGTGTTGTGCCCTCGATACAAACAGTTCAGAGATCCACCTAAGGAACACACAAGAATCTCCAAACCCTAAACATTTGATCTATTAGCACACAGTCAAAGGAAACATATAAGACACTTAAACACTGAATATATATTCTAAAGTGCTTTACCAGCATGGCTGTTCAGGGTCCAAGAAAGCATGAAAGAAATATAAACAAGATTATTCAGAATGGGTACAAATATGGGCCAAACTTTCTGGTTAAGCAAGAAAGGTGTCCTGTATAAGAATGAATCAGCTAAACTAATTATTACCAGGTCTAGAAATCTGGTAACCCAACACACTGGAAGGACTGTTGAACACTGCCTTTGAAGCATAGGAGCCCGTACAGCAACAGAGAGGAGAGACAGCTTGCAGTACGGCTGATGCAAGGCCTGTTCAGCAAGGCAGGAGAAGTGCCTGGACGTGCAGCTTCTACGTCAGGGCCATCAGAGCTGAGCTCTCTGAGCACCTGAGAGTCTCAAAGCAGTGAATGGCATTTTAACCCCTGAAAAGGGGCTTTGCAATGACTCTGCCACTAAGCTTTACCACAGGTTTTGATCACTATGGGAGACATAGAGACTACCTTGAGCGCTGCCTTTCTTTTAGTAAGAATAAATTTATTCTTAGGCAGGATGCTGAATAAACACATGACAAAGATTTCAGATCCTCAGGAAGGAGCTGGAGACACGCGAGTGAAAACAGAGGAGGGATTCTCAGGCTGAACAAAGTGAAGTTCTGAGGACTGATGAGCACCATGTTTCAGATGACAGCTGGAATGCTCGAGGTTTCCTGATATAATTAAAAAGTCATTCATAGAAAAGGGCTTCTGAGCAAGCCAATAAGTAATCTAAAGTAATTAAAGATTTCCCTGCATCATTTACTGATGACTTGACTGCCAAAAGAGGAGACTGCAGGCCTAAAGAAATCTAAAAATTCATACAACTCCATGCCTGTGACAATCTTTGCCTAATAAAAGATGTGACATCTCAAAATAGATTTGAACATGAAGCTCCTTCTTATCTCTGAAAGAACAAAAGGAAGTCTCCGTTTCCCATGAGGATTTTTCTCTTGGGAAAAATCCCAGGAAGCTTGAAGGCAATGCTCAACACAGGACAACCAATAATCTACCAAACTGGTAGAGTGGTTCCCAAATGCTAACTGTGGTTATGGGGAAATCAAACTCAAATCTTTATCCTTCTGTTCTTCTAAATCCAAACTAAGTTTTGTTGAGCAGTTAGCATATTTAGTCCTGTCTAAAATATTCCTAGCTTTCTCTGCTCAGGAAGGACACCACAACAGATGTGAATTCACATAGATTAGGAAAAAAAACTAAGAATTGTTTTCCATTCAAAATTTCTTGCTTATAATTACTAGATTATCAGTAACAACTGATGATACTGAGGGGATACAATCAGAGTGTCTAACTCACACAGGCTAAATTCACCTCTTCTAAAGATCTCAACAAAAGGGATGTAGATTATATGAATAACCCCCCCACACACATGTACTGCTAATCTATTTCATATTTAAATTGCTTTATTATATTTTAAGCGAAGTAATACATAGCTCACATTCTTTAAGACAGGTTTAGAAAACCTTTAACAAGCAATACATAAGCAAGGACCTAGAAATAAGGAAAATCATCATATCCAGACTGTCCAAAGTGATCAGTATACTACTAATTTGACAAGGAAGCGTTCTCAAGTATCTGTGTGCACAGCAAGAGATCAACAACAAAGCTTTCATAATTGCATATTACAAGCACGAGGGTTTGTTTTCCAGTGCTTTACACATCTCTGAAAAATCAAAATACTTTCGAAAATAGTTGCACTGCATCGTTGGCAAAAATGGTAGAAAGGTTGAGATGTGAAAAGAATCCTATTTATACACATATGCACTTTAGATCTACAACATGTTTTTTAAAAAAAAGAATAATAAAGGGCAACCTTTAGATTCCACACAATGCAGAAGCATCATGAAATTCCCTGCTAAATTAATGAAGAAATAAGAAAGCAGATAAACTGGTTATTTGTATTTTAATATGCATTACAAAATAAAAATTAAATTTGCATAAAAATAAAGATGTTATATGTTTATTATATCTTTATGTTTCTTAGAATATAATTCAGCCTACTGCATTGTATTTTTTGAAGTAAAATTAATTTTAGGCATGAGAATACATTATCTCTCAATTTAGCAGTTCCCTCACAAAAAGAAAAATGAGATGCTTCAAAGGACTGTCTAAAACTCTGTTGCAAGAATTACCCATCAGCCTAGTAAAATTCCTTCTCACCCACAGAGTTACCTAATGGTTAATTCCTGAAGCATACAGATTAATAGATTTGGATGCCTTCATTACTCACACATCTAATCCTCTTCTCAATCTCTTTAAGCTTTTGACCTCAATTATCTCCTGCAGAAAGATCTTTGCAGGGCATATATATAAAGTAAAATAATACTCTTGTTAGTGTTTCAAATTTAATTTATAAAACGTGCTTATGAGGAATAACAACAGTATGATCTTTGTACGTTACCTAACAGGCTTGGTCCACCACTCATTATTCTGAATACCTTTTAGAAAAGTGTCATTGCAGATGGCTCTGCAATCACCACCTTTATTTAAGGTCAGCGAAACCAAATTAAACTCCATTAAAAAGCAATGGCAGTGCCTACATGGCCAGCTACAACCATGCTCAGGACTGAGGTAGGCAGACAGAATGGTCAAAATGGATTATACGATCTCCCCATAGCGAAGACACAAAGAACACATAATATTAACTGGGGGATCACAATTGTTTCATCATTCCTGCTTCTCCTTATTAATTATAATCTCATCTCCAAGTTGAAAACAGGTGTCACCAAAAACAAAGGTAAAAAGTTTGGAGTTGTATGTGTAGAAAAATTATGCTGGATCCTGTTTGAATAAAGGTGCAGAATAAAGATGAATAAGGGCAGAGAAGGATGAATGCAGTATAAAACATAGAAGAAGATACTAGCAAACTGGAATAAGCACAGAAAAAAAGACATAGAGAGCTTTTGGTACAGAGCTGACTTACAGCTGTAAGTCAAGTAACTTCTTTGTGCAGCACTTTTTCATACCATTTTTTTCGAGTAAAGATTAGCCATGTATCTTTCATAAACTCCATCACTGATTTCTCTTCATAAATAGAGCAAAGTACACAAACACGAAAGGTTAGGTATTAGAGGGAAAATGTTTTTAAGAATTAATATGTAGGCAACATATGCCTACAGGAGCCATAAACTGTACTGGTTTATTTTTGGTAAAAATCATATAGTGCTTTCCCTTTAGATTTTATAAACTCAGCATTAGCAGCAGAATACTGCTTTCAAACGAAAACAGCCCATGAATACAATCTGAAGGCATTAAGTGGGCTTTCTCATTAGGGACTGTAAATGGCAGCAATCAAACGAGTCACATAATGAGGGTCATAAAGCCACTGAAAGAAGTCACTGGAATTTAGAGGAATGGAAGCACAGGAGGAATAACTGTTCCATTGAGAAAGTCTTCAGCCACTCTAGAAAGACAGGAAAATAGGATCAGAGTAAAACCATAGAGAATGAAAAAAACATCTTGGGATCACAGAACAACAGTACTCTTTCCGAGCACCAGACTCAGAAAGACATATTGAGAGAAATAGAGAGTTCAGCACGTACAAAGGACCTCATGTTTTTTCTTGTATGTAAAGTGCAAACGATTTAGAAATTCATTTACAAAAACTTTTTTTTTTTTTTTTTTAACTTTCACACACTGGAAAAAAATAAAACAAACAATCAAACATCATGGTGTAGGCTTCTTGGTGAACTCAAGTTATGCAGTAACTTGGAATAAAGAAAGGCACCTCCTCTTGGTTTAAGGACTTACCATACTCTTCACATCTCAGAGTGGGATGCTGGATGAAAAAAATGATCTCTAAGAAATGGAAAGGGACTTCTAGCCTAACTGTTTGCCGAACAGCAATGTTCATGTGGGAAACCGCATAAAAAACAGAAGAGCAAAAATTCTGTTCTTATACAGTTTACTGCATTCCAAGAAAGGGATTATGTACATGAGCAATTAGCTATAGATCTGCTTCTGCATTAACAGAGACCATCTAGCTCCATCAATTGACTTTGCTATACTGCACTCAGGGATTTTTTGTTTGTTTGGCATAGAGATTATAAAAATCTGTTGCTCTGCTGATCTGTAAACACATAGTGCTTATGAAAGTTTTTTAGCCGTATGCGGTAGCAAAGAATTAGAAAGTTATCACATAAATAAAATTTCTACAAGAATTAAAATATACAAAGGAATCAAATATACAAATCAAATATACCTGTGCAAAGGAATAGGTAGTTCCATAACATCTACAGAAACCACAAAAGGCCAATTTTAGGAAAAATCAAAGTATAAAACAATTCTGCATGTAATAATGTAATAATCCTGCAAGTCAAAGACATATAAAAGTATTTGTTTGAAATATGAAAGCTGTATGATTTTGAAACAAACCTTGTCCATTAGTTTACTTGCATGAAGACTCAGGCTGTTAAAGAATATCTTCTTGCTCAGCAAATGCATTTCTTCAATTGTTGTTAGCAGTGTGGCTGCATTGTTCCCTACAATACCACTGGAATCAAAATTAAGAGTATTTCATTAATACAAAGTCACAGAGTGCAGGGGACAGACTCAGATACTTTATACAGTTTCAAATACAATTTGTTCAAAATTGAACATGTACAACAAATCATCATACACAACCCTTCTCTATATCGTCCCTCTGAGAAATTAATTTGTAATTAATATGACAGAGTGACAGAAAACAAACTTTATCAACTAAGTCACAAAACAATTAGATATTACTTTTAAGAACAGTCTATCTAGAACTTAAAATTTTTGATATAATACATAACTTTCTAATATTTAGTGTTCTTTTGTTTTGTTACTCTGTACCTCTACTTCTGCTAAAGCAAATACAGATTATTTAAAAAAAGGGCTTTATTCTGTCTTACTGTCCTCTAGGGAAATGCACTTCCTCGTGATACTAGGTATTTCCATAAGTACAAGAATTCATGCTTTATTATTCCCAGTATACTTAGCACCAATACTTCATAAACCTTAAACCACATTACAAGGTTACACGCTTATCTTGAATCTATCTTGTCTAAAGGAAAAGTGATTCTAAGCTTCAAATAATGACAGATAAATAAAAACACATTTTCTGTTCCCTGTTCATGTTATATTAAAGAGTAGAGGTCATATGAATTGAGGAATGTCAACTGAAAAATAGTATCTGCTTGATATCATGCACATTTCTCTTGGATTCTACAGCACAAAGCACTAAAGCAATAAAGAAGTGTTTTAAAGTGTATTAGTCTTTATACCTATTTACTAAAAAAATGACATCCTTAACATATTTTTAAATTTGGCATACCTGATTGTATGGTGGTAGAACTTGAGAAGATTAGAAATCTTATAGAGTAAAACTGCTCCTGGTTCAGCAACAATCACCTGCTCAATCCTAACCTGCATAATAATAACAATAATAACTAAAAAAAAAAAAAGATAAATATCCTCCAGGTCATACATTCTAAAAGCCAACCTCTGTGTTTTTTTTATGTGATATGAGGTTAATATGTGAGAAATAAATTTAACCAGAACTAAATTTACCAGTTGACAGTGTGAAGTTAATTTACAACATTCTTCTTGAACCAGACCTTTCTGCAGCCAAATATCCAAACAAAAACAAGCAGGTGTATTAAAAAATAATAATAAAAAAATAAATCACATTTCCCTACAAAATTTTGTTGCAACTTGTTATGGAAAATTTCAAAATAGTGAGATCATTTAATGGATTAATATCAGCACACAGTGGACTCCTCCCCAGCACTGGACAGCAAGAACGGCCGCCAAATCCCTAAACTACAGCAGCTGATGATTAGTATCACGCAACAATTCAGGACATCCCAAGTAGTGGGTATTTTGTCCAAAAGACTAAGCTTCCTCTGGATGAGTCTCTTCTTTTCTCAAAAGAGCTGTTACTTAACTGCTACTAGTTTGTAAGTAGGTATATTTATAATTAAATAGTAGCTACATTGACCTTTTAGCTCAGCCAGGAGATGCTGCCTATGCACACTAAAGCAGCACGGACTTTCTCTATACTTGGACAGTTGATGTCTGGTCTCCGTGGTTTGGACAGTCTCAACCAACTCATAAAAAGCTGTCCCAAGGTCAGTCGTTGGGCACTCATGAAGTCCCTGACTTGTTCCTGCACCTGCCTGTGTGTGCAAGGGCAACACAGAGCACCAGCCACCAGCTCATGTCCCCTGCCACCCGTCTGCTCTCAGTGTGGCACAAGCCACAGCGGTGCCTTCTCACTGGGGCCTGCGGCAGAGTTAAGCTAAGACTATGCTCCCTCAGTCCTCTTCCTCTTTAACTAGCTTGGAAACGCAGAGCAATTTCTGGCTTTTATTTGCAAAGCTCAATGCACGAAGCCAGTTTCAACACTGGTGTGACCTTTGTCCTTCGACACACATACATTTGTATAGAGAGGTATGCACGCAAGTACCTATATATCCAGTGTTGCAAAAGCAGGACTCCTGGCCAGAGATACTAAGCATTGGCTAGATACATAGCAGGAAAGGAAAAGGAAGGCAGGGAAAAAGGGCAAAAACTAAAATATTTACAAAAAAAAAAGAAAAAAAGAGCAATTAAGAAATGGAAACCAGCAAAATGAACAGAAGGTGAGTATCAAGTCAAATTAAAAGTGATGGATTCACAAATATCAGGAGAAGATCCAACAGAAAAGTAACATATCATGGTGTCATATGATTACAATAAAAAATTTTTTTCCTAAACTTAATATACATGTTTTTCTTTTCTTATAAATCAGTTAACTTCTTCAGTTTAGTTAAAAGTTTTACTTGCCTTATTCTAGATGTCATTAAATGCTTAATTACAAACAATCTTCCCATATAAATCCACTGAGTATATTCAAAAGACATCTACATTTTAAACAGGATATACATTTCTGATGTCCATAACTCTTACAGAATATAGAACTAGAAAAGACAGAGAAGGGCTACAAAATGATCAAAGATTTTGAGAACTGTTTCTGTATTAGCAGTGAGTAAACTGACTAGGACTCTAGAAATGAGACAGCTGAGGAGGGATGCAACAGAAATGCGGCAGATCAGAGTGGCATAAAGCAGTAGGAAACAATTTTTCACGGACTTTTTCAACGTAAGAACTAGGCTTCTTAAATGAAACCAAAATAAAATGGAATTGGCTTTTCCAGACAGGGAATAATCAAACCATGGACTACCCTCTGCAGGATATGTTGTAGACACAAGTTAGATGTGTCTGCAAGATGACACATCTAGCAAGATGCCATATTCATGGAAGAAAAATCTAATGAGGTCTATTAAAGACAAAGGCAGGAGCTAGGGCACAGTAAGTCCTTAGCAAGTCCCCAGCCAGGCTGGGAGACTATTCTCTGCTTCTACCGTGATGCATCTGCACAACTTGCAGGCTCTTCCCTGAGCTGTGCCAATGGCTACTGAGGAAGCCAGGGCACTAACTCTGATTCTTCATTTCACTTGCTCTAGCAGGTCTGATGTTCTTGGTCCAAAGCTAAATTTTTGCCCACAAGCTCTTACGGACTTTTTCTAAAGTAACAAAACAAAACTAAGATAAAGATTTTATAACCTAAAGAGTAGCCTCATACAACATGACTGATTACAGCCAGATAATCATGAATTCAAAAATCTTTTTAAAGAGTTCCATGGTTCTCAAGAGTGAGAATTTAACTTGACAAAAATACATTGCAGAGACAGGGGGCACGAGTTCTGTAAAACAGCACAGAGCTAGTTTTATATTTAGAGTGATCAGAAAAACAAAATACTTCACCTTCAGGGGTCTGCAGACACCTTCTGTGATATGCCCAACTACTTCTTGAATATTTTCTTCCACGCCTACAGTTAATGCAAACATATGTTAAGATAACACAGATTAATTTGATTCTCTTCCTAGTATAAAGCAAAAACAAGTGTACAAGCTATTCCTCCATGAGCACTGCAAGTTCTTTTCTCTGCAAGAACCTGCCTGGTTTATATCTCTGCTGAACTCCAAATCTAGCCATTAATAAATAGTTGCATGACAAAACAGGGTCCTGGAGAATCATTACCTGATGCTATGCAATAACTTCCTATCAAAATACAGAGCCTGGAGATTTGAGGGAGAAGGAACAAGGGGAAGAATCAGCAATCTAGCAAGAAACTGTCACAGTAAGGCTCAGCATTAACACTTCAGGAAAATAAATTAAAAAAAATCACTAAGCAGCTCAGGGAACAACACTACCTACACTGTGAAAGGGTAAACTGCAAATCCATGTGCCTGGCAACTTCAGATACTGATGCACCTGTGGCATTGCTATGAATCAAGTCACACGGGCACCTCCACGCTGCAGTGTACTATGGCGTGGGCAAATGCTTCTTCCCCAGCAGCAGCTGAAACTGGGCTCTCATAGAGCAACATACACAAAAGAGAAGATTGCCTGTCTTATCATGAAGCACAAATGAATCGTCGCATAGCAACTGGTACTGTCATAAATCAATCAAACTGAGAGTAACAGATCTTGGAGCTCTCACTTCAGCAGTGACTCAGAATAGATCTATGGAGACAGCAATGCTTTAATTCTAATTTAAAACATGCCAACAAGAGTTCATCTTCAGATGGGACCCATGCAGTGAACAGTAAACAAGTTGATGGAGACACGTGATAAAAATCGGGCGACCTTAAGCTATATTTTGCAGCTCTTATTTCACACTACAAGAGATCACCTCTGAGAGTAAAAATTATGAGCAAAGATCAGATACGTGTGACATGCCCCTTTCACAGAGACATGTGAAAAACTACTTAACCAGAAAAAACACATTCAGTGTGACTGTCTCCTGTAAGAATTTCAGCATCTTAAATTGGTAAGCTAATAAACTATATAAAATAATAAAAACTATATTTATATTCTTAAGTATTCATATCAAGAAGGAAAGCAAGATCACAAAACAGAAGATTCTTGACCTGTAATGCTTTGCTCCCAAATATACCCTAACAATATAGGGTATATTTTACCCTATACCTTTTAGCCTGTGTTCACACTTCAGTCTATTAAGAGTAGTTATATCTTTATTGTTCATTAGTATAATAACTAATTGGCACGCACATGCAATAGTGCATCAAGACCAGATTGACTGAAAAATTTGCCAGTTATCAAACTTTTAGCTGCAGAAACATACACATTCAAACACCAACGCATATGGAATTGCATCTTGGTACACTGCATGCATGTGCCTTCACATAAACTTCAACATCCAGCTAGGATATTTAGTTTCAGCAAACAATAAAAGGAAATCTTCCAGCACAACTGGTTATGTAACTGTTGCAATATTAGTACATTATGCTGACATGAGAGAATTAAGGATTAAACAATTTTTAGAGATTCAAAAATCAATTTTAGAAGGCAGTTTTATTAGCTGAAGATATGTTTTTGGCTGCCTCCCATACAATATTTCATTTCTCCGTGTACACTCTCTGTAAGAGAGATAGGTTTCTTGTACTTTATTTTGGCTTCTACTTTCTGGCTGGGTTCCTACAACTCCAAGGAAAATGGGTTTCTACTGCTTCTTTTAACCAGGATATTTGCAATTCTCCCTTCTTTTCAAGCACAAGCCTCTATAATACAGGAAGACTCCTGCTTACATAATACCTAAGGTAAAAGAAGAAAACAGATATCTTTCCCCTGATTAGTACAATACAAAACAGTTAATATTCTCTTCAATGTGGTTTCACTGCTTTTTTGATCGCATTTTTGTTAAAATTATTTTTTAGAAGCTGCCATTTGCAAGGTTACAACTTTTAAAACTTCTAAGAGATTTCCCTTGGATATTTAGTTAGAGGCTATTTCGCTCATTATCAATAAAGTCCAAATGGGGACATTCCTCCATAAACGTGTCCTTTGCACATTTTTTCTTTTACTGGGACCAAATCTACATCCATCTCACACATAGTTAGGTTTTTTAAAAAGTATAAGGAAGTTTTTATGCAGAATTTTTATTGTCTCCACACATAGCTTACAGAAAGATTTAGGCAGAAATGTGAACTTGACACTTGAATTAAAATAATAAAAGCAGCTCCATCTGCAAAAAGCTATTTAAATGGTAACTTCAAGTTAGAACATTTGATTGATCCAGCATACAGAAAGACCCATTGAACCTAAACCTTACACTGCATCCCCCTTTCCTAATTTGGTGTCTAGTTTATACTAGTCGCATGGGCTCCCTCTATTGGGAATAGAAGAAAAAAAATAAAGAAAAACACAGTTGTGATGAAAGTCTCCATACTATTTACACTAGATGTTTATCTTTGTGGTAGATACCATGGTGTGCTGGAGAGGTCCTAGGAGACTGGAAGAAAACAAATGTCACTGCTAACCTTCAGGAAGAGCAAGGAGGAAGATGTGGAGTACTATGCCTATCAGACAAGCCTTGATCCCTGGGAAGCTGAGGAAGAACCTAATCCTGGATCCTTCTAGACACATGAAAAGCAAGAAGGTGATCAGGAGCAGTTGGTCAAGGTGGAAAATTGAGCTTAGCCAACTTGCTAGCCTTCTACAAGGCAATAGCTGGCTCAGTGGATAAAGGAAGAGCAGTGGCTGTTGTTTGTAGATGATCTGAAATTGGGAGGGGAGGCTGATAAACCAGAGGCCCTTCTGCCATTCAGAGGGACCGTGACAAGCTGCAGAAATGGGCAGGAAGGCATCTCATGAAGCTCAACAAACCGAAGTGCCAAGTCTGAACCTCGGGAGACACAGTCCCATGTATCAGTGCAAGCTGGCAGCTGAGCAGCTGGAGAGCAGCTTGGAAGTAAAGGACGTGTGGGTTCTGCTGGGCAAGCTGAACATGAGACAGAAATGTGCTCTTGCAGCAAAGGTGACCAACAACCTACTGCGCTGCTTTAGGAAGAGCTCTGCCAGCACGCAGAGGGAAGTGATCCTTCCCCTCAGCACTGGTGAGACATCTGGTCCCATGGGGTCTCCCACACTGAGCTCCTCAGTGCCAGAGAGCCACAGGGCCTCTGGAATGAGTCCAGCAAAGGGCCACTATGATTCAGGACTGAAAAATCTTTCATAAGAGGACAGGCTGAGCAAGCTGAGACTGTCAGCCTGGAAAACAAAGCTCGGGGGATTTTACTCATGTGTGTAAACATGTGATGGAGTGATGGTGTCAAGAAGGTTACTCTTCTCAGTGGTACCCAGTGATATAGCTCAGAGGTAGAGAGCACAAAATGAAACCCAGGAAAAGTTCAAACTACATTTGAACCTAAGAAGACATTTGTTTTCCCTGTAAGGGTGGTGGAACATTGCAGCAGGTTGTCCAGAGAGGGTGTAATTCTCCATATACTCAACCACAGATACTCAAAACTCAACTGCACACGGTCTTGGGCAACCTGCTCTGGCTGACTCTGCGTGAGCACGGGGCTTGTACCAGATAATCTGGAGACATCTCTTACAAACTCAACTTTTTAGTGTGGGATTATGTGACTGTCTGCTAAAAGTATTTGCACTCAGGAGGTAATGAACCTGTTTTTTTCTACAATCACAACCAAGATGTGCCCTTTTTAAATGGCTTAAGTGAATGTAACTTAATCCTTGCTACAGTCCATGCAATCAGGTACCTGAAGACTGTACTATCAGGGAATTCATCTCAGTCTCTCAGCATTGTAGATGGTATATTAAAGATGGTAGATTAAGATGGTATATTAGCAAGTGTCAACCAGTATATGGCATATGAGCAAGTGTCAACTCTGGATCCATATTTATATGAAGTATACAATCTCAAGATACTTCATATCACTGCATTTTGCACTGAAGGGTTTTTATTAAAATCAATTGTATCCAATTAAGTATTGCTTCCCCTTATAGATCATAACCTATAACCATCCTTGTCATCAAAAAAAAATCCCAAAGATCCAGGGGAACAGTTAACACACAGTAACTTCCAGGCTTTGTTTTTCCCAGGATGAAGCTAAGAATCCTTAATCATCTTATTCTCTTTACACTTCTCAAGAAGTGGACAACAGTGATGGCAAACCCAGTCCTGGTTAAGACTGTAAGGACGGATCTTGCTTCACTCAGAAATGCTAGCTTGCCTGTTTGTTTCATTCTGTGGAGAAAAAATGTTTTCACTTGGTGCTATTTTCAGGAAATTTTTCTCCAAAACATTTTTCTTCTCTATATTCCCAAGCAGTTTACTCTGATCCATGCTTGAAATGCTCTGAATATATCTTAGTTATTGTAACACCTCAGCCTGATATCCTGCCAGAAGAGCAGAGAATTTACTAGATAAAGCAGCTTGCAAGGAGGTGGGAGAATTTCAGAAGAGAATGCAAGATTTGTCAGGAAGAGCACCAGAGCCAACAGGGCAAGTAGATACAATAACACCCTGTATGTGTCCAGCTTTCCCTCAAACACTCTCTGCAGCTACAACAGAAGCATCAGCTCTTCGTGCACAGAATCATCATGTGTTTTTCTCTATCAAACAGCCATCATGAGTCCTACTTTCCTATCTCCATAAGACATTCAGTAAATAAAATAAAATAAAAGTAAATTCACCTTCACAGAATTCTGTAACTGTAGTAAAAAGCCTCATCCTCATTTAAAGATATAATTCTTTTTTTCTGTATGCAAATAATGAGCACATGAAATATATATAATAATGCACTGTATCACTGAATAAACTTGCTAGAGTTTTCAAGTTTTGTTTTGCCTTGATTTGTAACATTTCCTATTTTAAGCAGCCTCTTGCACACATGCTGTTAATTAGGAAAGCTACTTATAGCAGCAGGGAAAACATGACTGCCTATTAGCTTTAAATCCCTGAGCATGCTCAAAGACTTACAATCTGGAGCACTCTTCACACTCACTCTAAGAACTTGCATTTGATCTGTTTGTTACAACTGAGCATACGTGCTCAATTGACAAACAAGCCGTAGGCTGCAGCTGTGGAGACCAAACACACTGCAGCTTCTGCAGAATAAAGTGTTGAAATTACAGGTCTAAAGTGCTTGAAAAAGACAAAATGGGCCTGAATAGGCTGCACACCTCTTAATGAAGGGCAACGTCAATATTATAAAACTTCATAGATCCATGAGAGGCCTACTCTGGTGTCCAGAAACTTATAGCAATATGTTAGAATGATAGAAGGAAATTGCATTTTACTTACAGGACAGGAGGAACAGACTATTATTAAAAATAAAAAAAAATATTAAAAATAAAACGAAGCAAAACACACCATGAAAAGCACATCTCTTACTAAATACAGCAGCAAGGGTAACAGATACCCTCAACATGTCAACAAGCTACTACAGGACTATGTTTTCACGGACATAATTCACATATATTATAAACAGCCTTTTGAACTCTGATCTATAGGTTAAACAATTTCTTTCTTAATTTAGTATAAAGCTATTCTGAGCACAGTAAAATGAGAAGAGTGAATTGTGAAATACCCAACTTCATTGGGGGCTTTTTGCAAAAAGCAAGCATCAGCTATTCTGAGACTATCCACAGTATCATTTAAGGGTAGACTTGCATAACTGAGGCATTGTCTAGAAAATTAATGACACCTTCTGACTTATCACAGACACGTTTTCTATCATTTCTGAATACAGGTTTTAAAATCTAGTAGTACCTTGAACAGTTACAAGCTTTAACATGGCTTCTAAATGTTCTTTCTCAGAAGCTGTAGCTTGATGCAACCAGGCCAGCATGTCTCCTACATACCTACATGAAATAAAAAAATCCTATGTAAATGAGGGATTTATGGCGTGAGGAATTTAAACCATCATTAAGCAGAATACATTATTTATTTTTTTAAATCAATTTTTATTATCACTGTACCTCAAGGGATCATGGGAATGCATTTCGATGGGACGGGGTGTACCTCCTGCACCTCCTCTGGTGAGAGCATCTATAAAACCACGAACTACTGCGCTCCTCCTCGCTGTCCCAAACTCATCCAAAGTATACCTGCCATTGAAATGGGAAAAGGCAAACAAAGTGGTTCACATCGTCATCTTTTACTAGCTCAGCTTCACAGTTATTTTAAGTGACCATTTTTAGAATTCAATTCAATTTTCATCAATGCTTCTGCTATGAAAAATTCCACACCTCTGGATATTGTTGACTCTTCTGAACACATATTCAAGATGAACATTTCTTCACCCTCTCAGCTTCTCACCACACAGAAATGAATGTAAACAACCAGGGCACCACTCTAGGGCACCGGATGGTTAGTGGCGACAGAGAGATTTCCACTCAACAGTTGTTCAGTTATTTTAATTAGTGAGTCTCGATCAGGTATTTAATGGATGGACAATTACAGGTCAGGAGTGCATCATCCCAATCAGCATCCCAGTAACAGAGGATGTGCCAGAATACACACACACACATTTCCAGAGGCGGCTGCCTTCCTGCTGGGGCTGAAGCATAATGGCAAGTGAAAGAGAAAATATAACCCTGCTAACTTGCAATTGGACCTATGTAAAAAAACACAAGAATTTTGAAAGCACCAGACCACTTCTTTTTTTGGAACATTTAAGTCTTTAAGTATTTAAGAAGTACTTAAGAATTTAAGTATTTTGAAGAAAACACATAAATTACAAAGGAGAAAAAGAGAAACACCTGACAATATTTTTCCAATATAATTGGTGAAAGAGCAAAGACCAAGTGTGGTATTACTTACTTGGGACACCCCAGGAGCTGAATAAATGGAAAAATAAAATAATAAAATAATAACAACAACAAAGCATGCTACTCTGCTTGAAGCAAGTACAGCACTCAAAGCTAAACAGGCTCCAAGTTTGCTTGAACAAGATTCTTCTCATGCTACAAACAGTCCAAGAAATCTTTCAGTTTTTACTCTTTATCTACATTACTATTCAAAAGATAGAAAAAGAATATATTTAAACAAAAGTTTCAGTACTCTTCTGCGTTTTTCTCCAGAAACTTTATCTGGCAATTTAAAAATACCTGCATTTTTTAAAGTGGTTAATATAAAACATTCTGTAATAAACCACTATTTCAAAAATTATGTGATTAATAACAAGGGCAATCCTAGATGCACTCACTACCAATAGCCCAAGAAGAGCAGTGACGCAGTGAAAAATCTCAGGTGTACAAACCAGGTAAGCTTTTTATCCTCTCCTCCAATAAATAACCAAATAGATGCTTAAAAATACAGCAGTATGTCTCACTAGCCTTGAAAACCACAGTTAATAATAATTTTGTTTCAATGAAAAAGCTACTAATTTTCTTTTTACTCTCAGTAGAAAAGGGTATAACTACGACATAATTCTGCATGCACAGAATTCAGTAATAACTACTATTTACACCAGAAACACAGTCTTAACTACTATGTTATTACGCAGTCATTAGGGAGGAGGGAAAGAATATCTGCATTCTTTTCAGCCCTTTCACCAATTGTTGGAATAGCCAGTAAATTCACTGGGAGGGAGGTGGTGGAGAGGAGAAAAAAAAAAAAAAAAAAAAAAAAAAAGAGGGCCAGATGGAAGAGAAATATTCCTTTCAACTATGACTCCGCGGATTAGCTACAAAATAGTTTTTGATTTTTCTGTTAGGAACAGGAAGTGAAGACCAAACTGAAATAGTTATTTCAGATTTCTAATGACTGCAGTTCCTGAAAGTCTGTCTACGGTGCAACATTTCTGCCACCTTAAGGTTGAAAATATATAACTCAAAATCAGAAAACAAGAATTTGCCCTTCTCTATTTCACTGCCCTTCTCTATTTCACTCATTTTCATTTTTGTCAGATGCTGGGGGAGTAATCTCGAGGGAAATCTGGGTTTAGTTCAACACTGCAGGGCTTAACTGCAGAGCAATAACAATTTCAATCTAATTTCTTCTGTGACAATTTTTAGATTTTTAACTCATGCTCAGTGTGGTATGTACAAAGGTGTGTGTGTATATATATGTAAGGGATATATTTATATAAAAGACTACATATATAAAAAGGATATATATATACACACACATATGCATATATAAAGGATGTACACACACACACACACACATCTTTTTAATTTTGGAAGGAAATAGAGATTCAAAATATTACAAAGTCTCAATAATGCAATTATGTCAACACCAGTGTAGCTAGCATGACAATCTAAGATAAGACATAAGTTTGCATCTTCTACAGTAATGTTTCTTTTGCCTTTCTGCAAAAAATGATGTCCTCCTGAGGTTCAAATGTTGGTAGTATTAGTACTCTTGTCTGTGAAAAATATGTAGTAAGAAAAGGAAGCATCTTTTTAAGATTCACTGTAAATTAGCCAGCTATGCATTTTATGTGGAAGATGAATTTTTGTCATAAATGTTAAGAAAGCAAACTATGTGAATTTTGAAACCAATTCAAACATAATAAGATCTTTATTGCAGAAGACATACACCATATCTATAAAGACCCTTATAAGATGTTGTGAACGCAGCTCAGACTGATCCTATACATCTGTGTAAAAGGGCCCTGAAGACAAAATGCAAGAAAGGACTCTGCAATCCCCAGCCATGGCCCAATGTACTGACTATCCCAGGAAATGGCACATCAACACCGTGAGCAACAGCTGGGGACATCCTATGAGATACCAGACACTCCTCAAATTAATAAATGCTGTCCAAGCATGCACCTATGTGCACTCTCTCTTTAATGGAGAATTAAAGCCCGTTTGTACTGCACATTCCCCTCCATCCAATAAGTCTATCACTGTCACCTACATCACCTTGCACCTTTGGTAGTATTAAAGGCAAGAGTAGCCTTTGAAAGGCAGCCTAATACTCTGCTGTTCTGGATGTCTCTGGCCGAGAGTAATAGCTGAAAATTATGATGAATGATTGAGTGGTTAAAAAAAACCCTCAAAACACACAAAAACCAAATGTATTAGAATTAAGTGTAAAACTGTACTTGCTCGTAAGGACACCCCAATAAAGACAGTTCTGAGAGTGCCCCCTTGTGGTTACTATGCTCCTAGTAAAAAGCATTTAATTTGGGTTAAACAAGCCCTTCAGCAGTCCCCGAACAAGAATCCTATAGCAGTATGCAATACCACTATATAGATACCACTTCACTCCACTCTGGAGACACACCATGTAGAGCAGATTGGCTTTAACATAATAGTTCCCAGCTCGTAATAGAAGATATTCTTACTGCCAGGAGCACTTGAGTGAATCTAATTAGCCTTTAGCAATTTCTTATTTTGGGGATATGAATTAGAAAATCCCATGCTTTGGACAGCATTTTTACTTTCAGAAAAATCCTACAAGGGCAGTAGCCCACATACTGAGTTTCTTTGGATTAAAATAAGAACAGTCTGACATTTTACTTTAATTAGAAACCAGTAAGTTGAAAAAACTGACATTTACTGTACCGTAATTATCTCATAAAGACTTCCGAAATACAGAGAAATTGAAATACAATTTTTCTTTACTCTGATGCAATATCCACCATCCTTTTCCCTGTAGATCATCACAAATTGCAAGTGTTATAAGCTGGAAATACTCATTTCTGTTAACTATTAACATTTACTTACTTATATAGGACAGGCCTATCTTGTAAGGCTTCCATAGCTTGAGCGAGAACTGGAGAAATGTCACACGATTCTTGTGTCAAAGTTCTGCACTCATCTGAAAAACATCAACATCAATAAAAATGCATTAGTCACTCAGTAAAAAGGTAATGTAATATCCTATAAACCAAGCTGTCAAACAAAAAAACAGGTTAATACCTCACAGGAGTTTTAAATTTTGATTTGAAACCTATAGAATATGTTGCATGGTCTTGTTTATTTTATTTTATTGTAATTCAATCTCCTCTCTCCCATAAGTATTATTTTGCCATAAAATGGATGGGCATCACAAATCTCAGCAGTAATAAAAATTAAAGAAAGCTTAATAGCTAGTTGTGCCTATGTACAAATTGTTAAGTCATTCAAGCATTTTTACTAAGAAAAAGCAGTATGTATTATTTAAGCCAGCTATACACTTTTTAAAGTGATGTAACTATACTTATAATGCATTTATAAGTTTGCATATTCCACACAAGAATGTGGAAATCATCTAAATGAAATTGCAAAATTTTGCGTAACATAGGTTAATTTTTACTAAGGCCAAACCACAACCATCATTTGATTATTCAACGAAAACCAGCTACCAATGTATTCTTCTATTGTACCAGCTTTTTCATATATCTTCCTGTCAACATTTCAGAAGAAAGGAGTGAAACAAAGCAAACATTTTTGCATCATCAAGTTGTTTCAAGAAACACTGATATCTGCAGCCAGAGTATGTGTGTGCAAAAATATTATATACTATAATACAAGACAACATCCTATGAAACCAAGCCTAAAATATAGATTTAAACAAGGATTAATCAAGTTTAAAAGATAGTAAGACACTCTTAAGACAGAGGTTTCTAGCAAATTACCAATAAACAAGAACTTTCCCATGACTTGCAAGAAAATGGAATGCAATGAACTCCATTAGATTACTAAACTGTATTCACTGACCACTACAGAAGACCATCTAAAAACTGCAAATAAATAACATAATTTTACAGAAAGAGGTGTGATTAGCCAATGATGACAAACCCACAATGAAGAGACTCTCCAAGTTATCAGTTTTGGAAAGAGTTCCTGCAGTTAAACACACATCAAGGAGTTAAAGGAGTCATCACAATATTCACAAACAGAACAAAAATAATCTCAGTCCTACTTTGAGTCCATCTGTAAAGTCGTTCATAGGATGTCTCTTGCAGTAAAGCCATCTGTTCCATAATTTCCAAGCTACAAGATAAAAAAAACATTTTATTAGCAAATACTATTTTGGGTAGTACTAGAAATTTAGAAATCTAACCAAGAGCACCACTTTTGAATTAAGAAAATTCCAAAATGTGCTACTATTCTTTGTTTTCACGTGGAATACTCTTTATGGTAATATGATGTAGGGAATGAGACCTCACTGTAAATGCTGGTTTAACTAGCAAATGATTATCTTTAAGTTGTTTAAAAAACACTCACCCTGCCCTTTGCTGATTTGTCCGGAGGAGGATCTTGACATCATCATGAATTTGCTTTACTCTTCCCAATGCCTTGAAAAAATCCTACAAATAAATAAATAAATAAAGCAGTGCTTAAAAGCACCAACTTCCATTCATATCTCTGAAATTCATATCTGTCATTTTGTTTCCACGTGTTTGCTCTTTGTTGGTCCCTGTTCAAAATACTGCTTTTAAAATACAGCTGCACACACACCTTGTCATTTATCCTACCTTAATAGCCTTACTATGTTTTCTCTCTCTGTCATTGCTCCTTATTCTATATGTTTTTTACAGCAGTAGAGATGTGTTTTTACCTGGGCTATATATAGTATCTGTGTTTATTGTTGGCTTCTTTGGGGAGGGTGATTTTTAAGGACATTACTGTATATTCCTTATCTTCTGTTCAGTAAGATAAACAACTGGAGGAAGAGCCTGATAAGCTATAATACATAATTATTACAGTTTTTTGAAAAAATTATTACCTACTTTCCTTTTAAAATGAGTGAAGTAACAATTCTGAAGGGGAGGAGAAAAGGGTGAGGGGGAATCAAGCTTTTGCAATTAGCTGAGGTTTCCATGCTAATTTCCCCCTAGTAATAACACATGGGTAGCAGTCTCTAGAAAACTCTGTCATATTACCAAAAAGGCTATGTTATTTTGGCGGGAATTAAAGCTAATGCACTAATATTGTCAAATACGAGTCATTTTATGAAGTCATTATTCAAACACTATGAATGAGAGTGGAGAATTCAGACACAAGGGTTTGTTCCCCTGTGAGCTGGACCCAGATTATCCCAGAAAACTAAAGTTCCAGTCTGGTTCCATTTATATAGAAATATACATTTTCTCTAGGTGAACTATTCAGCTGCTTTAATTTATGGCATTGCATCAACTGTCTTGAAGATAAATATGTGAAAGTCCAACTCACTGATCCTATAATCTTAATCCATGAAAAAAAAAATCCCACAAATTGACTTTAATAGTATTTTAAGCACACTGTTTAGTTCCATCAGAGGAAAAAAGTACACATACTATTTTACTGAAGTCTGCCACTTTAATAGCACAATTATGATTATATCCTGGTTACACCTGCACATTTTTTAGGTAGTCCAGAAGAGCTGATAGAACTAATCCTTGTTCTGCTGCAAGTCAAGCACTGAACAAATGGTTCAGTGTTGCTGTCAGTCCCTATGAATGCTGCAATGCAGAAGGAAGAGGACAGAAAGCTTCCCTTCTGCCTTAGACTGGCAGAAGTCATTTAAGAGCAAAAAGGAAAAATCTTCTATATCATGCATCAACTTAGGAAAGCTACTTCACACAGAGAAGATAAAATATATGATGAAAAGAGCAGAATGCCCTTTCCCAGGCTTGTGACAGGCTTGCTTTAGATTGTTTTTTTAAAGAGCTGAATAGATGACCTTGTGAGATACTGGCCTGAACTCTATTTGCATTAAGTATAGTTATCAGCTTGCAGGATCAATTCCCATAGGGCAAAGAGGAGATGGAATATATAAATAACACGTAGAAATGCAAGATATAGCTTAGTCTAAAATAAAAACTTAGTTGCCCTTCAGATCAAGCCCTTAAAAGGAAAACATTCACAGGCTGTGTTTGCTTTATATATTTTGTGTGTATGTGTGTGTATGTGTGTGCTTTTCTATCTCAACCTGAATGCTTCTTTCAGAGTAATAGCTGGTACAAAGCATAGAGCGATTACTCAAATGCACAATCATTTAAAACATTCCAGTTATACTTTCACTAACATTGTTTATGGCTATCTATTCTATTTCTTTAGTAATGCTTAAACTACAAACAGGATATCTGTGGAAATGAGATACCATGTCTCAGCAGGTAGGCTGCATTTAAGTGAACATTTCCATGCAGCTGCAACAATAAAAGCCATTAAATATACTCAATTCCTTCATTATTCAGTTTGCTTTCACTGCAGAACAATGTGCCTTCTTGCCTAAAACTATAACCACATTAAAAAACTTTATTTGGAAGCTGGCTAAAAGTAAGTCAGCATCTAATATCTTCAACATCAAAACTACAATGAGAAAAAGTCCCACGTTATATTATTTCAAGTTATTTATATATTATGTTATATAAAATACTCATATGTACGCATATGTAAAATGTGTGGACATGGACAAAAAAAGTGCTCCATGCTGCAAATTTTCATTTGATCTACTTGCTCTCAATGAAGTTTCTGAACATCTTAGCCTAAATTTCAGGTTCCATAAAGGCAGAAAACACTAGGATGATGTAAGAGCTCTCACTGTCCCTTAAATGCATTACTCAAACTGGAACTTAATGTTGATTTGCTTGTTACTTCAGTCTTTCATCACATATTTCAAACTCATCAGAAATCCAGCAATCTGTTAAAAAGGGACAATCCTCCACATAAAGTGAAACTACACTTTGATAATAAAGTTTCATATACAAATGAGCTAGAGTGTTTCTGCATTTCAGTTCAGGGCAAAGCTTTTCATGTTCATTGAGTTACCTCAGTAATTGGCTCATCTTTTGTGCCTCGAAGGAGGCTCATTTCATCCGGTGTCAGCTGGAATTTTGCTATGAATGCATCTGCAACTTGTGCTTTCATTTCCAGTCTCTGACTGTTTAAAAAAAAAAAAAAAAAAGACACGAACTGAAGGAGATACTTTTTATAGTTATTTCCAATTGTTTTGCATATTCAGACTTTAGAAAACACAATTAGCACTAGAATTCACAACTATTAAATTCCAAGAGTACATATGTGCCCCATAATACTTAACTTGCATCTTTATATGCAATTTTCTGTTAAGCTTTCATACAATACAAAAGAAAGTAGTAAAGGTAAGTTAATATGTTTGAAAAACAACACTTTTTTAAAAAAATAAATATTCTCTTTGCATTTGTATCACAAGTTATCTAACGCAGATACTTTGCACTCATACAACATAATGCTTGCCAGTTATTTCCTTTCAAGTTCATTGGGGAAAGAATGTTTCTCAGCTTACATTTTGAGACAGAGCAAAAGGCTGTAACACCCAAATTGAGATAACTAATAGTTCAATCCACTTTTCTGTAGAATGGATCCTTTTCTGTTTAACAATATGCAGTTGTGATACTAATTTACTACTTCATAATGACCAAAATGTTAGGCTAATGTTCTTGTTGGTTCCCCTCCCTCAAACAAACACTTCAAGCCAACAACACGCAGACTCCATTGAGAAGTATCTTCTTCCATGCACGTTTGGTCACACAATCACAAAATGATGCAAATGATGCAAAGAGTTTGATTCCATGGGAAGGAAGGGACAGGAATCCGAGCAGCAACAGAAAAGTTGTTCCAACTGTGGTGTGGGCCCATAGTGTTCTGGAAAATAAGCACTCTTTTTCTGGAAATTGGGAAGGCACTAATTAAGTATTTGTGGAAGAACAATGTGCAATTACTTTAGGGCCATTTTGACTTCCAGTGTAATCAATACAAGATAAATACACTGTTATTACATGCAGGTTAAGACAGACCTTAAGAGTAAACATGGAAAAACAGACTTGCCTTCTGTAGCCGTGGATGAACTTCCCATTCTGTAGTAACTTTTAAATTACTACAAACAGAGAAGTTTAAGTTAAGAGCAAACAGAACAGTTAATTCACTACATTATGTAGTGGCTGCTCCCAGTCTTTTCCGTTGTGAGGAAATTTCAGCCTGACATTTAACTGTAATGCTGAGCTCTCAGGCTGGACTAACTGAAGCTGCTGCCTCCTGAGTGCACGAAGGTCCAGCTCTTCTCACAGCTGATGCCACCCTCTGTTCTGGCCATTTTTGCAGTTTCTAAGAGCTCTCAGCAGCAGTCTATACCCTTGCACCAAGTTGAAGTGCAAGTGGGGAGGGTCTGAATATTCTGCACACACTAGTTTCTTTTCAGTTTGCTTTCTAGATTTGGTAGAGTTAGGGTTGCAGACTTTTCAAAAGAAAATACAAAAATACACACAAAAAAAACCCCACTAATTTCTCAGCAGATGGAAAACTGCGCCTGTTATTCTCACACAAGGTCCTCCCATCCACAGGCTTTTTGCTCATGTTTGCAGGCAACTCCCTAAGGAAACTCTTCTTCTGTAAGTCCCCTCTCCACGTGCTCTTCGCATCCAATGTTTGAATTGAGATACGGCCACATTAACAGCTTCACGGTGCAAACAAAACACCTGCCTCAAGGTGGCAGCAGCGCTTCGCCTTTCTGCCTCAAAGAGGGATTTGGAGGCTGCTGAGAGGCCTGTCTCCTCCAACCTAGGGATGCTCAGGCCTTTGACACGCTACAAAGCCTTGTTGCTGATTTTTAACGGTACATATTTGATAAAGGCGGTCTCCCGGGAGAAGAGCTTAAAGCTATTTCTTTGGAGCTCTGCAATGAAAAAATTGGGATTTCAACATGCTTTTGAAACAGTGTTTCAAAACCTGGGTGAGCTGCTGCTGCTTAGGCTGATTACGAGTGGTGCTGTGGTATCAATCTGACAAGAGAGAGATGCCACCGCCTCGCAAGTGGCAACAAAAATGTAAGACATGTTCTGTACCCCTGACTTCCACCTGGCTGTGTCCTATAGGAACGAGACCACTACTTTCACATAGATACCCATTCATATAGATACACAATCCTCAGAGTTAAGCTAACAGTCATTTAACCAGAATTTAATCGATTTCATTAAAGTGTGCAAATGGATTAAAATATCACCCAAATGCGTTTCAATATTTTGCTGCACAGTGGCATGCAAAAATACTGAACATGGGCAGTAACAAAACCAAAAGCCGAAAGCTGGGCAGACATTTGGTCACTTCGTGTCCCACCGTAACCATTTCCAGCCTGTGCCCTGGGCACGCACAGGGCAGCAGGGGGAAGGTCCATGTCGTGCTGCTGTCCCAAAGATATATATTTTTTTCTGTTACAGAAGTCATCCCTGCATAAAAGAACAAAACTAACAGATCATGGGAACACAGACCTCTGAGCTGGGGGCTGGGGGGAAGCCCAACAAAGAGCAATTTCCCAGTTTTAATGGTCACCAGGGAGACTGAATTCTTGCACACAAGAACTCCAGGGGCTGGGAAAACTATGCACTTCATGCACATTTCCCTTGAACCACATTTAAATGTGCACGGTTTGTTGGGATTATCACCTAGACAGCTCAAAAAAAAAAAAAAAAGGGGAGGGAGATGAGACAGATTTTTCCAAAGTTTAATTCTATATTGCCACAAAGGATATCATAGAAACCAGCTACTTTCCTTCATCTGCTAAGAGTCATAGCAGGACATTACTTTCACTTGACTATAGTGAGACTTATCACATCTTTATGATCTCAGGAGTTAGATTATTTCTAACTAAAGGAAACAGGAGCTATCTTTAACAGACACATATCAACACTGTTGTATTAGGTGAAAAATTTCATTCCATTTCTCATGCAAATATAAAAATGCTTTTGGAAATGCTAAGAAAAAGTGTTTTCACTTGCCATTATCTGTCAAATGCAAAACTTTCTTAAAAGAGAACAGAAATATACGAGTATAATGAGTATATATGAGATATTCAGTGACTAATACCCATAGAACACAATTAATTTCTTCCCCTGAACCCCACGAAAAGAAAAAAAAAGAAAGGAAAAAAGGAAAACAGAAAAAGCCCAGTGTATTGTCTAACATATTCCCAGGATATTGAGAAATAGCAGTTCTATTTAACAGGTGTTCTCTCTCTCTAGTGAGATCTGATCCAGAAAGCAGGCTGCAAAGCTGAGCCCCTGTGTCAAGGACAGTGGACTTGCACTACAGCAGGGTGGCAGGATGCTCATATGAATGGCGAGTCTATTCCAGGACAGGAGACTAAAGGACACTGAACTTGATAATCTCTCAGCAGAAAGCTGAGAGAACATGATTGCTGTCTAGCTACTGTTTAGGGGGGAAAAACATCCTTTAAAATAAACTCTTTCCATTTCCTCATGTTGTCTGTTATCTAACAACTAGGCTAGAAATTAGGAAAAGGCTTTTACTGGAAAGAACGAGCTACAGAGATGAAAGCTCCAAGAACAGCAGCAGGTGCAAAAACACTTAATTACTTCTGCACTAAATGGCTGCTGAATTTATGCAAGTCCTTATGCAAGTCATATACAGACAGTAAGATAGAAAGACCTGCGTCTTGCAACTTGAAAGACTTACAGAATCACAGAACCATTACGGTTGGAAAAGACCTTTAAGATAACCGAGTCCAACTGGAAACCCATCCCCTCCATGCCTGTTAAACCATGTCCCTAAGTGCCCCATCTACACGTTTCTTGCACACTGCCAGGGACGGTGACTCTACCACTTCCCTGGACAGCCTGTTCCCTCACCACTCCTTTTGCATGGAAATTTTTCCTAGCATCTAACTGGAACCTCTTCTGATGCAACTTGAGGCCATTTCCTCCTGTCCTGTTCTGGAGAATAGTTATTCTGGCGGTAGTTATTCTGGAGAAGAGATCGACCCCTGCCTCACTACAACCTCTTAACAGGTAGCTGTAGAGAGCAAAGAGTACAGAGGATGATCCCTTCCCTGGTGCTGCTGGCTACACGGTTGCTGATAACAGCCAGGAGGCCGCTGGCTGCCTTGGCCACCTGGGCACACTGCGGGCTCATATTCATCCGTCCGTCCACCAACACCCCCAGATCCTTTTCTGCCACACTGCTCTCCAGCAACTCTGACTCAGCAGTGTGGGATTGCAGCGTAGTGCAGAGTACTGCAGCGTGGGGTTGTTGTGACTGAAGTGTAGGATCAAGCACTTGGCCTTATTGAGCCTCATACCGGCCCATCGATTCAACCTGTCCAGATCTCTCTGAAGAGCCTTCCTCCTCAAACAGATCAACTCTTCCTCACAGCTTGGAGTCATCTGCAAATTTGCTGGTGGAGCCCTCAACCTCTCATCCAGATCGCTGATAAAGTCCCTCTTTAAAGACAGCTACTCTGCGATGGAGAAGCCCTCCCACATAATGCCTTCCACCTTAGAATTAAGTAAGTAAAAATGAAACACTGAATAAAACAGAAATTTATCATCAGAAGCTGTGAATCGCATTGAAAAGATTCAAAACTTTCTGCCAGACTCCTAAATATCAGAAATGAAAAGGTTATTTGCTGTAAATAAATACAATTTGATCATTTTCTACTTACATACGGATCTATGATCATCTGTATGTATCTAATGTCAATAATGTGAATACGTCTTCTTAACTTGCAGAACTGTTCACAACAACCATTTCATGTTATTACGTTAATTAGGGTTTATCAATGTGAACAGAGATCAAGTTAAAAAGGAATGTCTCCAATAAATAGATTCCTTTGCATCTTAGAGAAAATATTGTTGATGCTGTTGTACCAAATAGAAGGACAGCTTCATATAGATGCATGGTACCTTTTAAACAATCTGATAGAAAGGCATTTGAAATGAGACTGCTGAGTCTACTCTTCAGATCAGTAATCATATTCCAAAATGTTGCCAAAGATATGAAAAGAACATACTGTTCTCCACAATCCCCTGGAATGAGATCAGAACAAATGACCTCAAACAGTAGCAAAAGGAGAACTGAATCAGATATTAAGCAAATAAAGTGGGAGACCAC